ATGCCAAGAAGGCTGTGATAGATTTTAAATTCCAAATGTAGATGGACTCACATGTGCAGATGCCTAACACAACTGTTTCTGAATAATTCGAAGAAGACAGAAAATGCAAAAAAAATGAAAAGCATAAATTTGTGATAACTGGGAAACGCTTCATTTGAGCCTCAACTGCTTTACTTGGCATGATCGTAGAGAATTGATTCTGCTCTCTTAAAAACAACAGCTGTTCACTGCGGAAGACTATTCCTGGATTTGCACCATATACATTAGGGCAAAAGAGACACAAGTTTATGCTACTGTAGCCCATCTGTACTGGGCCTTGACCCACACAGCTGTGTCAGTGCTGGAGCATTGGCCAGGACAGCCAGTAGCAAAGGTGATCAGACACAAAATTCTCTCAAATGTGCAAAGTAAATAAATAATAATGGCAATGCGTGGGGTTACAGAAAATGGCAAGCATGCCATTTCAGGCAAATATGATTTGTGAGGTGATGGTTGCTTCACAGGCATGAAGCACAGAAGCCTAGCCTCTGCAGCATCTCTTTTCCTTAGGCAGCACGTTCCATGGCAGGAACAGGTGTAGATAAGAGCAGTGTTTTAGGGCTTGTACTGATAGCACAAAATGAGCAGAAACTGCTGCCAACTCAAAACAGGCAGAAAAAATACAGGCAGAGGCCATACAAAAGTGAAACACATTTCACGTCTGAAAGGTTGGACTCTCAGGTGTGGATGAATCCAGAAGCAATGTGACATCCTGCTCCAACCACTTTCTCCAGTTACTCCTGGCTGGCAGGTGCTGTCAGCATAAAAGCAGGAGTGCAAAGCATCACTTAGTGGAGTTTGGCTAAACTGGGCACTGGGTGAGGTAGAGTGAGCTGCAGCACAACTGCTGTATTTTTCTATCCTGGCAGGTGAGAGTGCAGTTGATGTGATTTCCTACTGTGGGGCAGGAGGCTGAGTTGAAGGTCACCTCTCCAGAGAGGGCTGTGGTGGCAGGATGCCACTGGGAAGCACAGTCTCCAGCACAGCTCTCTGGTCCCACTATCTGCACCACTCTGAGGCCTCTCCTGCCCTGGACATGGGGGCCAGAGGCAGCAGCAGCAGAGGGGCTGCCACCCAGCTTGGGAATTCATGTTGTCGCCCAGCAGCCCTTCCTCTTGAATCTGGGTAGATTACTTCCTCCTGGTTCTTGGTAAAAATGTGATCTGGTATAAAGACTTGCCTGCAGGCATCTTTCTATGTGAAAAAAAAATGTTAAGGATTTTTTCTCAAGGATGTTACCTGCTTTGCTAATAAATTACTTTGGAGATCCTTAAAAGAATAATGTTCCTGACAGTGCAAGAAGTGATGTGCTGGTTTTATGTTCTCCTCATCCTTTGTGGTTTTGAGTGGCACAAAACGACATGTCACAATTCATCTGTCATTTTTACATTTGGAGAAGTGGTCAGGATGGAGCAATCCAGCCATCCCAGCTGAATACGCAGTTGTTAACTGACAGATATCTTGAGTGCAACAGGAGTCACAAGGCTGTCGTGGAGGTGTCGGCTTTTAAATCCCAGCTGCATGCAGAACCTTGGCATATCATCAGTATGTACAGTTTTCAATTTCATGGGACATTTCTTTTGGTGTTACCAATGGATTTTGTTTTGCCTTCATCTTCCCTTTTTGTTAACACTGCAGAAACTTATTTCTTGAGGCTCTTTCCTGTCTTACATGATACCGTGTGCGCTGTGTGATTCCCAGGGTGTTTCCATGGGCAGAGACCTGAGGCTGCACTACTGCTTTCATGTACACTCACGTACAAATGGCAGACAACTCAATAACATGAAAGGTGTCACAGGTTATTTTACTACAGTCTCAGCTCTGACAGGTATTTAGGTTAGTATGAAACCGGGTTTCAGCTCCAGTCAGCCTTTCTTTGCAGAATACGGGAACAGCTGGCTGGCTGGTGGACGCTGCCTGAACAAAGGTCTCCTTCTGCTCTGAGTGGCCTCAGGGGGAAGCTGCTGCTGCATCTGGCTGGCCTGGCAGCAGGGCCCAAAATAGGGATTTGTCCTGTACAGCTGTGGAGGTCAGACAATCTGGGGCTGTATTTTATACAGTTCAACTGTGGGAGTATATTTTTTTCCTACAATCTACTCAGACCTGGGAGAGGAGCAGAGCGAGCTGAATCAATTCCTCTGACACTATCTTTTTGCATATTTTTACCTTATTTTTGAGAATCTAAAGCAGGGTAAGCACAGCTCTGAGGTTTTTTGCAAAGATCTGACTGTGTTAATTTCAACAGATGAAACTTTGGTTTCAACGTCTGTTAAAATGAAAATATAATTTTCAAGCTAAGATGTACCATGTTGAATTATTCTTATGTTGAGACTAGTAGAGCACATTAATCAGTTGATCAAACTTTGCTCAGTTAGCCTTTACTGATCTTGCTTCTCTCTTCTTTGCCCAAATTAACACAGTCATATTTGTAACTGAACTCAGTGGTAGCCAAGGCTATAAAGGCAGATAAATGCAAAAACCTGCCTCTCCAAAGTCTTTAGTCTCACTAAGAATGAAGCTCACAGAAGCACACTGAGATCAAAATCAATGCTCCCTAAACCAGGAAAAAATTCGTTTGCAGAGGCTCATTTTGGATTCTTCTACATGCATAAAGAGAGAATAATTAACTTTGTACGTGTAGAGTTTTATCTTTTCTTATTCTCTCCATTCTGTGGACAAACTGTTGAGTTCACTGCTTCAGTAAAGGCTTTCCAAAACACTTTAATAATTCCCCAAATACTAGCTTTTTTTCCTTTTTCTTCTTTTTTTTTTTTTTAAAGCTAGAGGTTTATTAAGAAGATCACAGATTTTGCTATGTTTGTTGTGAAATCCAGGTGGGAAAAAACTAAACAATTCCTGGCATTTATTATGATAATTTTAACTGAGGCTCATAAGTTAAAGGAACTTAATGGCATTACCCATGCAAGATATGAAAACCTCGTCTCCAGAAATAATGACCTTATTACAGCGTGATCTTGTGTGGGTGGAAGCCTGCTTTGGAATAAGCCTGGGGGAAATGATTGTGTATTTCACCTGCCTATTGTACATTATAGGTGAGCTCAGAGGTACAATAAGATACACATTTGGCAAGTGTTTTACATGTAAGAAATTGGTAATTTAATGCATTAATCACCAGAGTGCAATTACAGACCTTAATTTAGAAGGTATTAGTCATTCGCCATAGATAACCTTCTGTGGCTATTAGAATTTCATAGTCTGAGTTCATTACAACTGGCAAATGTCATTTGCAGAACCAGCACACACAAGGGGCTGTTCTTTGGCTTGAAGCACATTTTTTCAGTATTAAATAAACTCCATTAAATACAAGAGAGAGCACCTGTTTGGGTCTTATTTCAATAAAGATTGTATCCTAGTTGCATTTCAAGGGGGCTTATAAAGGTTGCACATTATTAATGTATTTTATTAGCATGTTTAAAATGGAGTGGGATACACTGGAAATATTACCAGCATATCAGTAGAAGACATCATAGCTATTGATAAGCCATGGCAAGAAACAGCCTATTAACCTGTCTCTATCAAAATGAGAGACAAATGATTATTTGTACAAAATCTGTTAGAGCATTTACTGACCTTTCATAAATGAACCTTCATATATGGTATTTTCTTGAAATTAGTAATATGCTTAAAATTAGGTCTCTCAGTGCCTTATTTCAAGAAGCTGCATAAATCTAGGAGACAGTAAAATTCTGTGAGTAATTGTTCCTAATTTTTGGTGTTTTCATGTGTATAATGGAGAGGACATCTTTTCTTTTCCCCCTCTTTCCTAATTCCTTATGGTGCCTGCTAGGTGTCTAGCTTGCTGTGTGTATGTGACTTGCATAAGACAACAGAGGAGCAAGAAACATGTCTCTGCTCAACACAGACACCTTGGCAGGAAGAAAGCTTTTGTTTTAGTTTCCATCGTTTCTTACAAGTGACAGAACAACATGAGATGGTTGTGTAGGTGTGCCTTTTGTCATCAAAATATAACATGCATAACATGCTCATCTGCATCATTTGGAATTACATTACTTTCTCTGTGCAGAAAAGCATTGAAAGATGTCAGCACACTGCTACAGAAAATACAGCTGCAATAACAAACAACTTGGCTGTTTCTTTTCTCTCTGAGTTAGACAACCACAGTAGCTGAATACATTGACATTCTTTATAGAGTCCTGTGATTTATGCATTTGAAACCTGGACGTTTTTAATAACTGAATCAAAAAGATTTAATCCAGTCTGCAGTCGTAATAATAGTGAGCAGTGTTCTATGATAAATCAGTCAATGCACCAAACCAAAAAAAGTTCCAGGTTGGATTTTCAACCATAACTTAGCAAAAGCTTTTGAAAAAACACTTCTGTAAATTCATGAACGCTTGTTAGCAGCAGTTGACTGTACAAAAAGCAGCAGTGAATACCTTGCTTCCATGCTGAAACATACATTATGTATTAAACAAAAAGATGCTCAAGGACTATAGCCATGAAAGGACAGCAGTCCTGCTTACCTGCTGCTTCAGCCACTTCTTAAGTTTTTATTCACAAACTGAAACAGGCTTAGCTGGCACCTAAACTGTCCCTGCATTCCAGGCCTTGCTTCGTTATTAAATATCTCATCCTTTTAGGTGTATGGGCAAACAATGAGAGGCCCAAGCTGGCAAGATCCACAAAATCAGGACCTTGACAAGATCCTGGGTGCTTCCCACCTGCAACAGCAAGCTACAACAACAGGATTACAAGTGAAGTATCCACCTCAGACACACATTGTGATGTGTAAACTGAGGGCACACATGGTTAAAACTTGATGCTGGTTTTTACTGTCACCACATAAAAAGAGGTGCTGTGGTGGTAGACTCAGCAGAAAAGAGATATACTTACTTACAGCTAAGAGTAATCTTGAAAATATTCAGAACTTAAAGTATCCAGTTCCATCTGTTCAACTCTAAGAGAGAAGCAGGACCAAACAGAAAATAAGTTATTATTTATTTGAGCATAAGTATCACAACCTCACAGTGTAAATTTGCACAAAACAATGGGTGCTTGTAGATACTTCTCTAATATCCCACATGACCTGATAGAATTCTATAGGACTTTTCCTAAACTGGTTTGTTTGCTCTCTCCAGTTCCATGTGTCTTGTTTAAACACGCTATTCCAAATTACTTGTCTTCAAACACACAGGTCCTGCTTTCAGTGGCCTTAGAAATACTGTTTCAGTGCCAGGGTGTGTTGTAATTTCTCACCTGATTTAACATAAGTAAAACATATCCCAAGCAACCAGAGAGGTGCATTAAGACCATTAAAATACATGCATATGCAGTCACTTGTAAGTACTTAATACAAGAGTGACATAAGTATTAGTAATTAAAGGTACATAACCCAGGTTAGTATGAAGACAGGCACTTTGGTGTCATCTCAGGCCCAGTTGATTCCATACAAAGCAGAACAGCTCAAGCAGGAAAGAGTGAGAATTTCCTCTGTAGATATCTTCATGGTCGGGGGTGACATCAGGGGTCATCAGAGACAGAAGCAGAGTTCACATCCTATTAAAAAGAGAAAGGCTCCATAAGGAGCAACCTGGGTAGGAGAAGGGTCTATAACTCGATATGAGTTACTAGCAAGAGCTGCCTCAGGCACTTAATTTCAAAAGAGGCTGAGAGTTGTGCAACGCCAACAGAGTGGAGCCTCATTTTATTTAAAAGGTGAATCTTAAGACATGGCCCTGAGTTCTGCATTTCCAACTGTCTAGATTAGGTCATGCTTTGGTTAACATGATGTATATTGGAGATCCAATGCTTTAGGCTCCTGTGTCTCCCATGCAATGTTACTAAATCCCCAGCTCACTGCTGCAGCTAAGGCCAGGGCAGCCGTGCGCTCAAGAGTTAGCTCAGAGATTGTCAATTTTTCAAACAGCATCAATTTCCAGAAATTTTATTTCAGTGCAACCTGAACATTTAAATTACTATAATTTTTTAAAATACAAATTACTCTGTCCTCTCTTTTACCTCCCCTTTTCATTCCTGGATTCCTCTTTAAGAATTACAGTAACAGGCAAATAAATTACTTCAGTTACAGATCTGTCATTCAACCTTAACTTCTTTAGGAAACCTAAGTGTTCCACTTAGTATAAGGTAATGTAGGAAATGGAATATAATGACCATTAGAAATAGGATAAGAATGTGAGTAGAGGATCACCTGCTCACAGTTATCTTGGGTCAGATAAGTGCACATCAGAGACTCAGCTGTATTGGATGTAAGAGGCAGAGAGAAACTGGCTCTTTCCACCTGCAAAAGACCAAAAGAAACAGCTCAAGCAGCCAGCAAACACAAATTTTCACATTGCTTAGACTGAGGTGAGTCGGTATGATCATCTCCTACAGATTAAAATGTAGCAAAGCCCATAAAAGCTTACTCCTGTGTCCTGGCTGCATCCCTCAGTCTGGTTTCCCCTTGCCTGACCCCTTCCCATAGAATCAGAACCACAGAATTATTTGGGTTGGAAGAGGCCTTAAAGATCATCTAGTTCCACCCCTGCCATAGGCAGGGACACCTTCCACTAGAGCAGGTTGTTCAAAGCCCCATCCAACCTGGCCTTGAACACTTCCAGGGAAAGGGCATCCACAGCTTCTCTGGGAAACCTGTGCCAGTGCCTCACCAACCTCGTAATGAAGAATTTGTTCCCAATATCAAATTTAAACATACCCTCTTTCAATTGAAAGCCATTCCTCCTTGTCCTATCACAAGCCCTTGTAAAAAGCCCCTCTCCAACTTTCTTGTAACCCCCCTTTAAGTAACTGGAAGATGTTATAAGTTCTCTCTGAAGCCTTCTCCAAGCTGAACAACCCCAATTCTCTCAGCCTGTCTTCACGGGAGAGGTGCTCCAGCCCTCTGAGCATCTTCATGACCCTCCTCTGGACGTGCTCCAACATTCACGTCCTTATTTTGGGGCCCCAGAGTTCGGTATCCAGCAGCCGATCTTGGACAGCTGGGGAGGATTTCCACTCTGCTGGGAAAATTCCCTCCCAGTGTTTCTTCCTTGGCGATTCTATCTTTTTTAATATTTTTTTTCTCATGCCATATGCACATAACCACCACTCTCCTCCATGCCCTACCCCTGCGGCACCCCAGCTCTCTCTGGCGCTGCCCCTTTATTTACGGTCGCCGTGCACAAGAAGGCGGCTCAGCTGCAGCCCCGTTCCCGGCCGCTGTGAACATTGCCCTCCCGGGCGCACCTTCCCGTCCCGACCAGCCGTGCTTCCCTCGCCGGCACCGCTCCTCAGCCATTCCCTGCAGGTCGAGCACACTTTCCCGCTCCAGCCGGACGGTGTGTATGCGGGGAATAGCGCGCGGGGGGACAGGCGCGGGGGGCGCTCCCGGGGGCGCGGCTGTTCCCAGCCTTTTCCCCGGCGCCGCCCGATTTTCCGTGCGGGGATGCTCCGCTCCTCCCAGGGCCGGGCGCCGGCGGGAAGTGAGCCGGGACATCGGGATACGGGTGGAAGCCGGGGGTCTGAGCAGCAGCCTTACACGGCTCCTTCACGGCCCACGCCAGCCCAAGGGTCGGTCGTCACCCTCGCTTTCCCCGCTCTGTCTTTCCCTTTTCGGTCGCCAGGAAATAAGGGTATCCACCCCTAGGAGACTGTTTTGGCACCAGGGTTTCACTTCTGCATTTTTCAAAGCAGTATGTAACTTCGCATTCATTCACTTTCTGCCCCTCCCCGAGGCAGACAAGGATTATTACCCTCATTTTATGGGGAAAAAATAGGTACGTGGGGTATAAAGTCCCTAAGAGGCACAAAGGCATCAGAGGTGGGACTTGATCAGACATGCCTGCACCTGGCCTTGGAAGAGTCCATCTTGCAGGATGTCAGCAGTTTCCACCTTGCACTTCAGTACTTTGAGTACTCAAGCATGAAACGTTTTGCTTTTGCAGACACCCAGCAGTGCCTGAGTCTGGCAGGGCTGACCAGCCAACATCTAATCCAGCTACGTGGTACAGATGTTGTGATGTAGGCATGCTTCTAGCTCAGAGCCAGCCCAAAGCACAGTAGTGTTTTAAAATGGAGTGGTGAACTGCACATCTTTGATTCTGTGGCTTATGGCTGGGAGCGTTCACCCAAGCTGTGGGAGAGTTCAGTCCTTTCCGTCCTCTGCCTGAGGGTGAATGGGACATGTGTCTTCATCCTAATTGGGAACAGGCTAATTTTGGCCTCCTCCAGCTTCCTTGTGAAGCTGTGTCATTGTGCAAGAATCTGATTGAGATGGTAAGAGGCAGCAACTGGAGGGGAGGACAAAAAGGGCTTCCAAGGTGTTCTCTAAGGATTGGTTTCTGGGTTGAACGTGTGCGTAGTCAGAACATGGAAGCTGCTCAGAGCAGATCTCCCTTCCCTCCCTTGACACCATACAAAGCATCCCCTAACCCTTCAGTAGGCTGAAGCATGTCTTTGATTTAGCAACTCTTGAACATTATTCACTGAGTTGGAAGAGCTGTAACAGAAGAGGAGAGTGCCTCCAGTCCAGAATAACCAATGCTTCCACAGTGAATGGGGCTGTGTGAGATAAAAGGGTTTGGTGTTGCATTGTGCAGAGAACAGAACTGAGAGTAGCTGTTTTACTTGATAGATTAATGTGCTAAATGAAGACATAGCTAGCTTTCCCTCCAGAAAAAGCTGGGTAGGGACAGAATTTAAAATATAACCTGCTTGGGGATTTCTGTTTTGGCAGTCCCTAGGTGTCAGACCTGGAATATATATGCAGGTGAGCCCTAGCATGCTACTACCATGCTGTGAGTCAGTAGAACAACTCACTCACCAACAGCTTCCCTCAGAAATGGTTTCAGAAAGGCTACCAGCTACTTTTCTGTCCTCTTCACAGGTCTTCATTGCATCGTAGGTTCTACAGTACAGGATTATGTCAGCCATACTAGTGAGTGAAATTTTCACTTTCTTCTCCTCCACCAACTAACTCAAATTTATTCAGATCTAAAGCCTATTTCAAAGAAATTCAGAAACTATTCTTTCAACATCTCCATTCCAGGAAAGAGCAGATCAGGTTTCTAATTTCACTTCAATGTTTGGCAGATTTTATCTCTCTTTGTATTATATTTATGCTCTTTTCATCACTGGACATTTGCAGCTTTTGATTGCTTTATTAAAATGTATGTGTAAAAAAACCTTGCAAAAGCAACCATCTCTTTGTTATTATTTGTTCCATTTGGCTCCACATATTCAGGCACCTGTCTCCATATTTTTTTAATAGTTCTTTATTAAATAACGTTTCCAGATTGGGTCCCAGGAGTGCAGGAGGGGTGACCATGCCATTCCCCCTCTGGCTAGCCAGTTAGTCACCTTTGCTGACTTCAGGCTACCAACCCATTACCAGTTTTATGCATGACCACTATTTCACAGGCATGACAGTGCTGATGAGCTTTATGAAAAGGTTACTTTTGCAGGTAAGGCTGTACAGAGCTCTGCTTGTGACCCTGTCTGAATGCTGCTTCTCCACTTCCTGCTGCTTCCTCAAGAATTTCTGTCTCATCTGTGAAAGCTGGCCTCCTCTAAGTTAAAAACTTGACTGTCTTTCTTGAGACTCCTCTCCTATTATCACTTTGATCTCTTCCAGGTGAGAGCTTAAATCCTCTCTGCTTCTAATTATCCTGCAAGCACAAAAAAAGGACATTGTGCTCCTAAGCTAAATCCACTGTGTGAAAAACACAGTCCAAAATGATAGCTAAGAGGGAAGGGAAGCTAATAAGAAGGAAACATTTCTTCCCTGGAGTGACTTCTAGTCTAGACCAGGCAGTTCTCACGTGACATTTTTTGAAGAAAAAAGGAAAACATGGACTCAGGATGAGCGGTGACTGTGACTGCTAGGTTGTTTGTGCAGCTTTGAGTGAGCGTCTCTACTGGGAAACAACAGTAGCAACAACTTGAAAAAAAACCAACAACCCCCTGAATCTTGACTCCCCTTGCTGAAGCCCTATTTCCTTAGGACCTGGAAGTTTGTAGGAAACCTTCTTGGTCCTCTTCTGAAGCCCTCTGCCTTCATCATCCCCTCCGAGACACAGAGGTGGGGGAGGCTGGGCTGCCCAGGGCTGGCAGATGGACCAGTGCCCAGCACTGGGGTGCTTCACTGGAAAAACCAGCCCAGCTGGTTGCTCAGGCAGGGAAAGGAGCAGCCTGGCTCTAATCAGCAGGGAGACACTTAAAATTGTGCTAGGGGCTAAAAACGACTGAACTGGGGTCAGGACCTGGGGTCTGGGGCTACAGCACCCTCCCTCTGCCTATCCAATTTACTCCTGTCCTCTGGAGAAATAGCCCAGAGCGTGTTTTTTTCAAGTTTATTTTCTTATCCTTCTGGGGAGTGTTTTCTTTTAAAGAACCCTTACCCTATAATTAGAGGAATCACATCTGTCTTTGTGTGTTTGCATCTCATCATATAATCTGATGGGATATCAAAACAAATAAATACAAACAGGAACTACATCATTACACCCAAACCAGTGGCTGAATTTTATGGTCCTTCTGCTCTGTCAGGTCATTAAATGCCTTATTGCCTTATGTTTTTTTCCATCAGTGATGGGAACTGCCACAGTACTCACTTGCCTTATGTTTCCTGATTTTAAGTTGGAAAATGCTGTATTACAGTTAGGAATCCTAGCAACTTAAGGGAGATTCTGAGGGGGTGGGGGCATATTCATTAATCATATGATAAATGAAATAGTTTCTTTTTTAGGTTGTAGTTGGCCAGAGGGGCCCCAGGATGAAAAGTGTGTTTACACTGCTCAACTTTTTATGAGCACAAATGCATATATTATGATGGCTTAGAGCCTGGGCAAAAGCTCGGATCTTTACTTTTCTTTCAGTAAGTAGATTTGATCTAATCAGATAACAGCAGCAATACAAATTTTCACAATAGCAGTTGGCCTTTATCTGACCGGTCTAAGAACAAAGGTTTACTGTTTGCAGTATATCTTTCAAGATCTTTTTTATGGCTAGATAAATATTACAAACTCCTTGTCAGTAAGGCTTTCTGTTAGATTAAAAGAAAAAGGATGCTCTTTCAAGGTCTTTGGGGTTTTTTTTCTAGAAATTTTACCAAGTGCCAAATACAAATAGTTCTTCACAGCCAGTGTTTATCACCAGGCTCTGGGAAAGATGCCCACAGTTTTTGCCATAACTGAAGGAAATATGAGTGATATTAGGGCATTAGACAAGGATATTTTTTTCTGCACTTGATAGAAGAAGTAGGAATGATTCTCATTTCCTTACAGAATTTTGACATGTGAATATATAGAGAAGGCTGCACAAGGGAGACTCTATTCATTTGGATGGCGGGAAGAGACCCAAAATCTGAAGAATGAGATTGAGACACATTTTTCTATTCAGGTGAATTTCAGTGGATTTTAGGCAGCCAAGTCCCCAAAATGTGATCCGAAAGGCCCTTCATTCTGTCATAAACCCAAAGACACCACCACATCTGCAGTGGCTCCCAGTCCATATAAGCCATTGCACGGGAGCACCCCGGGGTGAGGAGCCTTGCACAGCAATTGCAGGTGTTGGGGAGGTCAGTACAAAGAACATGGCTCCCGGCAGACTTCCTCGGGGGAGCCTTCGTGGAGCACCTCTAGCAGAGCTGCAGCTTTGAGTCCAGTGCAGGGCATATGAGCCGTGAACATTTTCTTTCAACCTTCGGCCAAGGAAAAGAGCTTGGCCCAATTAGACCATTAAAGGAAGTGGAAGACCCGAGTGCTTAGCCTGCCTCAGTCTGAGAAGCTTCAGTCTGGTTGTCACTCAAGGAAACTGCTCTAACCATAAGGCTGTAAGCACCTGAGTGTGTCAGGTAACAGTACCTGACATCTGTCCTGCAGAAATGTGGCTGTGCACACAAGGATGCAAGAGCTGTGAGGATTTTCAACCATGCCAAGTGTAGGGTACTGCACCTGTGGAGGAATAACCCCAAGTACCAGTACAGGTTGGGTGCTGACCTACTAGAGAGCAGCTCTGCTGAGAAAGACCTGGGAATATTGGTGGATGACAAGTTGACCATGAGCCAGCAGTGAGCCCTTGCTGCCAGGAGGATCCTGGGATGCATTGGGAAGAGCATGGCCAGCAGGTTGTGGGAGGTGATTCTGCCCCTCTACTTGGCCCTAATGAGGCCACATTTGGAGTGTCCAGTTTGGGGCTCCTCAGTACAAGAAAGACAAGAAGCTACTGGACAGAGTCCAGCAGAGGACAACAAAGATGATGAGGGATCTGGAGCATCTCTTATGAGGAGAGACTGTGGGAGCTGGGCCTGTTAAGTTTTCCTTCAGAGAAGAGAAGACTGAAAGGGGAACTCATTAATGCATACAAATATCTCACAGGCGGGTGCCAAGAGGATGGTGCCAGACTCTTTCCAGTGGTGCCCAGCGACAGAACAAGGAGCAATGGTCATAAACTGAAACTTCAGCACGAGAAAGAACTTCTTTGCATTGAGTGTGGCAGAGCACTGGAACAGACTGCCCAGAGAGGTCATGGAGTCTGGAGACATTCAAAACCAACCTGGACACATTCCTGTGTAACCTGCTCTAGGTGACCCTGCCTTGGCAGGGGGGTTGAGCTAGATCAGCTGAACAAGATGATGTCCAGAGGTCCCTTCCAACCCTAACAATTCTGTGATTCTGATATTTTTTTGCTGAGCAGGGGTTGGAAAATAAACTTCTTGAATTATTTTGGAATAGAATATTGCTTGCTTAATTATGGTTGCTTAATCCAAAGCACTAGTTTAGCTAAAATCCATAACTAGACTTCAGCTTTAGAGCCCAGTGTTGAGTACAGAATTAGCAATGGATGTTACTGTCCTCTAATTCCCTTTGTCAGTACATGCCCCTGGCATAATGTTGCATCCAATCAGCATTCCTCTTGTTTTGCCCAACTGGAGTATTATAGTCAACTTCTCAGTTTTCTTTCAGCATTTACTTCCACTTTGAGCTACCATTCCCACAGTCACAGCCTCTACCCTCAATGGCTTTGAGCCATTCTCAGAAAAATTGAAAGTCGTAGGTAATCAGCCCAACTGTTCTAGATACTTTAGAGGAAGTCTCAGCCCTGTAACATATAAACAACAGGGACTGGTTTCCATTGTTTGCATTGCTTCTTAGTCTCTTTTTTTATTTCTGGTTTTGATTTGCTTTTTTGGTTGGTTTGTTTTTGTTGTTCAAGTCTGCTTCAGTCTGATTGGGTGTTTCCACAGAAGGGTCAGTGCAACACAAACAATATAAGAGCTGCACTAGCCAGGGATAGGGCAGATAATCATGCATGGGCTGTGTTAGGTTTGTGCATGCTTTCTAATCTTCATTCTGAGGCTTTGCTTGGGGTTACTTTTCTGACTGGGCAGCTAGCACAACAAAATTCCCCAGAAGGATAATTGAAGTCCTACCTTTAAATCCAGACTAAGACGCACTGTGGAAAGCAGGCAGATGCAGTAGGTCATACCAGTGTAGGAGTTCAACCTCATTTATATCCTGGTGTACTTGGTCTATGTCTAAGCCAAAGTATAGTGAAAAGGGAAAGACACCAAGGAAAAGAAGATGGAGTAAAGTAAACTGGGCTTGAAAGGGGAAGGAGAAGAAAAGAAAGAAAGGATTTCTTTGACTTTGTTGCAGTTCTTGTTCTAGAACTTCGGACCTGAATCAAGAGTCTTTTAAAATCTGAAAGTCCTTCCAGCTGAGATGATCTAAACTAAGCAAAAATACCCTTACTTACCCAAAGGTTCTGTATTGGGTTTGTGTAGGTTTTGGTAGAAGTGGAGACTACAGGGGTGGCTCTGTGAGAAGCTTCCAGAAGCTTCTCCAATGTCCTGCAGAGCCAATGCCAGCTGGCTCTGAAATGGACTCACTGCTGACCAAGGCCAAGGCCATCAGCGACGGTGGCAGAGCCTCTGGGATAACATTTAAGAAGAGAGGGAGGAGTTAACTGTGCAATGACAACTACAGCTGAAGAGAGGAGTAAGATTGTGTGAGAGAAAGAACTCTGCAGACACCAAAGTCAGTGAAGAAGGAGGGGGAGGAGGTGCTCCAGCTGCTGGAGCAGAGATTCCCCTGCAGCCTGTGGTGAAGACCATGGTGAGGCAGCTGTGCCCCTGTAGCCCATGGAGAGCCACAGTGGAGCAGATACCCACCTACAGCTCCTTGAGGACCCATTCTGCAGCAGATCAGTGTCCCAAGAACACTGTGCCCCCATGGGAAGCCTTCACTGGAGCACACCCCTGGTGGGACCTGTGGACCTAAGGAGAGAGGAGCCAATGCTAGAACAAATTTACTGGTAGGACCTGTGACCCCATGGTGGCCCATGCTGAGTAGCCTGTTCCTGAAGGACTGCACCCTGTGGAAGGGGCCCATGCTGGGGCAATTTGTGAAAAACTGCAGCCTGTGGAAAGGACTCAAATCGGAGAAGTTTGTGGAGAACTGTCTCCTGTGGGAGAGACCCCACACTGGAGCAGGGGAAGAGCATGAGGGGTCCTCTCCTTGAGGACAAGTTGTGGCAGAGACAGCATGTCTGAACTGATCCCAACCCCCGTTCCCCATCCTCCTGTGTCACTGGGCAGAGGAGGAGGTAGAGAGTTTGGGAGCAAAGTTAAGCCCAGGAAGAAGGGAGGGGTGGGGGAAGGTGTTTTACGATTTGGTAGTTATTTCTCATTAGCCTACTCTGATTTGACTGGTAATAAATTAAACTAATTTCCCCAAGTTAAGTCCGTTTTGCCCATGACAGTAATCAGTGAGTGATCTCTCCCTGCCCTTACCTAGACCCACGAGTCTTTCATTGTATTTTCTCTCCCTGTCCAGCTGAGGAGGGCAGTGATAGAACAGCTTTGGTGAGCACCTGGCATCCAGCCAGGGTCAACCCACCACAGGTTCCAAACTCCTCCTGATCTTTGTTTCCCTTTCCCAGCAGCTTTTTCATGCCTGTGTGTTTTGTACCTGCAGCTGATTTCTTTATTGATACTGTTTCTGAGTGCTGCACTTGGCCAGTTTCTGGCAGAAAGATCTGGGGGTAATTAAATAGGAAGAATGGTTTAGATTAAATGAATAGAAAACAGTTTCTGTTCAGTTAGCTGGACTCTGGACATACTCATAAAGAAGTTGGCATAAATACACTTTCAAAACAGTCACAGGAAAAGTTGTAAACTGATGATGAAAGCAGTGTGCATATCAAATTAAAAGTTAAATCTGTAATTTTATACACAAACATCTCACTTTAGAAAAAAATAATAAGGGACAATTAAGACAGTGTTTGGTGCTTTAGTGTCTAATGTTTTGGGGTACAGAGGGAGAAAAGAGGACTGTCTTCTATGCATTGGTTTTACAGGCAAGAAATATACCCTGAAGCTGTTGAATCCTATCTTTCTCTTTTCTCTGGGGAGCTTTTGTGCTGCCTGTGATCACTAAGTGGTGTTTCACAGAAAGGCATCAGGGTAACAGCAGCACTCACGCAGGCTCCGAGAGAGCTCTCACATCTTGCTGTCCAAACAGAAAGACCCTTAGCTATGAAGTTAAAGGGAAGAAAAGCCTTCCAACTTGGCAGTAGGATTAATGTTTATCCCTTAATCCTTAATCCTAAAGCAGGCTTGTGGCAATTAAAGATGAGATTCTCACACACTCATCAAAAGATGCTGCTACCTTTATTGTGTATATACCCCACTCTTCTGTGATTCAGTGACCTACAGAAAATGACCTGGACGTTTTCATGAAAATTAGCATTAGCAAAAAATGTACTCTTTTTTTCTCCTTTTTGGTGCAGATATGAAAATTTTATCAGCTTTACATTTGTCATTACCTTTTTATCCACTGACCACATCCTAAACACCAAAATGGCTGGTATCCTTGGTCACAGGACTTCTTCTTTCTGGAATTATTTCAAGTAGTCTGTGCATGTGGTAGGCACACAATTCCTCTGGCTGACTGAGCTGTCATCTACAAAGAATCTCCTTAGAAGGATATCATGGTCACTGCAATAGGTTATTAAAAATAATTTTAAACTCTTTCAATCTTATTGGTGATTATTTTACACTGGTCTTCCCTAGAGTCCACCCAGATAGCCAGCACTTCTGCTGCTTTTTCCCCAAAACCTATTGCTGACAACTGAGAACGTTTAGGCCTGCTGCTCATTTTCATAAGCACACACAGTTCATACCTGTTCCACTGGTGTGTGCTGGTTCTCGTTTGACTTAGGGTTATGTGACAGAAGCACAGGAGGCTGCTGCTGCACAAAACCACTTCTAAGTCTGAAATTTTCCTTTCAGGTCACTCTTTTATAAAGCAAGCCTCAGGCCTCAGCAAGGACAGAAGCAGGGTATGTAACCCATTCTTTATTTATGTGGAATCCAGTGTATTTTTGTTGGGGGTGTGGAAAGGGGAATGGCAAGTGCTTTCTAACTCTCCATGGGAGAGTTGTTACTCTGGCATGAGTAACAAAAAGAGACAGCCTTAGTCCTCCTTTTCAGCTTTACTTCAAGCCTTGCTTACTGACAGTCTCTCTGGGTGTCCTGAGGCGTACACAGCTGTGCTGAGATAAACAGGCACTGCTACAACATCCACTCTCAGGTACTGCCAGTTGCCATTCTTTTTTACTGTGCTAGTGAAAGTTTCTAGGTGATTTAAAGCCAGGTTAACAAAAGTTTTACAAAAAAGTAAGTACAATAGTGAAAGTTCCAGATGACTCAAAGCATCTGCATCTGCCTTCCTTGATCCAGATGCACAGGAAGCTGAGACCAGAGCTAGAGTATATGCACTCACTTATGCCTTTAGATCTAGGTAGAATATCCACCCTGCATTGTAAAAGTTCTTTCCGTTGCTCAGAAACATAGCCTGCTTAGGACTTCCCATCCCAAAAGCATTTGCTGCATTTTTTATCCCACTCCTACTGGGCCTTGATTCTCTAAACTTCATTGCTCCAGTTTTCAATAATGAAAATTTTCAATAATTGACAGGACAAGAGGATAGAGTCTCAAGCTCCACGAGGGGAGGTTCAGGGTGGACATCAGGAAAAACTTTTTCACTGAAAGGGTGTTTAAACATTGGAACAGGCAGCCCAGGTAGGTAGTGGAGTCACCGTCCCTGTAAGTGTTCAAGAAATAACTGGATGTTGCACTTAGTGCTATGGTTTAATTGGCGTGGTGGTATTTGGTCATAGGTGGGACTCTGTGACCTTGGCGGTCTTTTCCAACCTTAAAGATTCTAAGATTCTATGAATGAAGCATTTAGACATCCCTTCATCTCCATGTCCCCGCACAGACATGTAATTGAATGGGAGGATCCTCGTTTTGTGGGAAGAATATTCTTCCCAAAACATTTTAAAGGCTAACGTACAGTGGTGAAGGGTTGCATAAAATACTACATGATGGGATTCTGTTAAAATACAGATCTTTGTTGTCCTCATGAGAGCAGTAAGAGGCATTACTTACTGCCAGCATTGCCCTCCTGCTCATGGAGGGACAAGATTTGGGAGAGAAGGTAATAACTTACGTGGAAAAAATTGAGGGAGCAAAGAGTTTACAAGCGAAATCTTCCTTGTCAGTAAACCAGAGCAGAGCTGGAGTGTAACAACTGTTAAAAGATTGTTGGGTATTTGTTTAACTTACAAGAATGTGGAAAAGCAAGTAAGTATAAAGGGAAAGGTGGCTGAAAATCTTTCACCATTTTCTTATATTCTAATAAAGAAAATAAAACAACATTTTAAAATTTAAAAACAACAACATTTCCTAATTCTTCCATTCTAAGCATTTTGATCTTTTTCTAGCTGTCTATTGTACATGTCTCCATCAAATATTGACTTCCAAAGTATTTTCTGTCTGCCACTGCTTTTGATAATGCAGTGATTTTGCCCAAACTTTAAAAACTAGCCATAGTATCTGTGCAAATACAAGGAATGAAAATGTAAAAGTCTGAAAGATAAATGTAATTTAAAACTATTTGTGCTAAACATGTTATATTACAATGTCAACAAGAACCAATGTCATAATTGTCAAATACTAAAAGGGAAACTTGTTGCTTTGTTTTAATGGTTCTAGGAAAGAAAAATGTAAAAATGTAAACAAGATCTTGAATCACCTGTTATATGTTTGGGTCTTTCTTAATAACCTACAACATTCTGTAGTCACAACAACAAACATTACATAGTTTACTGTTTATAATGTTCCCTTTAAAAGTGTATGCTAGGTCAAAAAAGAAGGTAATAAATACAATTATATTCTAGTACTTGGAATTATTCCCCATAGAAGAAGTTAAAATCTCTTAAATGTTTTTTTAAAGTACAGTACAAAACCAGTGACCTTAGGGCTACTAATTTGCTCTGTTCTTTACTATGCTCAATAAAACAGAATTTTGATACTCACTACCTACAATTTGTTTTTCTTTGCAGCACATTTGCTTTTCTTTACAGCACATCCTAAATTCCTTAGTGAGACAAAATGCGAATGAAATTTGAATGCCAGGACTTCAGAATTCAATGCTCTTATCCTATATTCATAATCTCTTTTACCTCAAGAATCAGATCTTGTCCTAAGCACACGAGAATGTCCTAAAAATGTAAAGATTAGTATTTTAAGTTGCGAGGTATTTGGGTTTCCCATTTGGTGTTTGAGCCTCTAGGGTGAAAATTTGCAGACTCACTCTAGCAGTCACAGCTGTTACAAGTTAGAGTTTTAATATGATCAAATGACTTTGAGATGTTTGGTAGAGTGAGATTGGACTGTGCTGTAATATCCTTGTATTTCCTATGCAGCAGATAGTCTCTAAAAATTGGCTTTCTCTTTCCTTTGGTATTTGCAATGGGAATGTCATAGTGGTTTCTACTGACATACTTTTTCATTTCCCAGAAATCCCTTTGTATGACAGCAAAAAGCATAAGATGACTTTAGTTTAATAGTACAATATTCTGCATAGAGGCTTGTACATGTGCTTTAAAGAAGCAGTGTGCTCAAATCAAAACAATAATTGTTCAAAGCCCCACTTTTTTCCTCTCTGAAGTAGATTTACTTTGCAGACTTTAGATGGCCACTGGGGGCTTGGCTCCCCAAGAGTTTACACTTACCAATTTTTAAGCAGATTGTGCTGGAGGACACAAAAATTCTTCCATTGGGTTATCATTTCATTTCAATAAATGCTTGTCTAAAAGCAGAAGCAGATGGTTGCAA